ATCACAATAATTTGAATGGTGATTATGTTGATGGTGTTAGTATCACTCGTGGGTCTCCTCGTCAACATGTCTGGACACTAATGGCTGGACGTAGTGGGGCTGATTATCTTTTATACACTTGTCCTTGTGCTGATGATTCTCCACAACAAGTTCAATCATTTGTTGGCGATCATTATTTCTGTGAAACAGCAATTGTTTCTGGAACATATGAAGAGCAATTGTATACATCTGATCCACTCTGGGATGGTCAAGGTTGTGGTTCTGCTGAAACAGCTTGTTGCAATGCTACTGGTATCCCATGGTTTCACAGAGACTACGGTAACACTACTACTACTGACTATATTGAGTTGAGGGTGTGTGGAGATGAGGAAACTGATAATGAAGATGTTCCTGTTAGCTATTATGAAATTTATGTTCAGTAGCTATAGAATAATGCTTGCAAGTTTTTATTTATTGTGCAGAATCAAGAGTATAGTGTTATTGTTTTTTATAAATTTTTTTTCTAAAAAATGAGTTGCACGTGTATGGAGGTGAGGTTACATACAATGCTCAGCAAATTAGCTATATAAACATTACAATAATTGGGCGAAGCCCACTAAGATGAGAAAAGGTCTGTCTGTCTGTATGTATGTACAGGCAGGGGGTCGTCTAACTATTATTGAAGTTAAATAGCCTAATCTTCATTGAAAGCAGGTGTGGTCAAAATGAAATAAAAAGGTGGCTATCAGCAACTCTGCTCATTTCTAGCAAATGCTCAGCAGGATAAGACTAAACTGCTATCCAAAGACTTCTCCAGCAGCAAGGAAGGTTAACTAAAATTTTCTTTATTGATGCCAAAGATCCTGATGTTAAATGATAGCTTCGACTACCTCGTGAAGCCTACAGGACTATATACTGACATAAACAGGCTCACTGCAGTGACTGCTATGTTCATACATATTCTTTAATGCTCTAAGCAAGATAACTTTCACAATGTCATGACGTGATGGCAAAATTTATATTTCTAACCAACTATAACTACATCAAGAATTAATGCTTTCCTTGCTCTCGTCATATAATAGCACAACAATAAAGCATGGCTCATCAGTCAGTTACTTATAGGTTTATACATGCAGTAGTCTTTGACCTAACCTCTGTACTTTTAATAAAAATATTCTAAATAGAATAATAAAGGAAATGAAAGAATACCCATGCACTTCATGCAATAACAGTGGTTGTGGTCAGAGCTGCAGCATGTTCTAGTGCCTTACTTCTGAGCGTAACTAATTATATGTCTAAGTTTACTACTTAATTACTATGTATACAGAAGAGGTGCATTCCGTGTAAGTGTGAACTGTATGTCAAATGAATTGCTACCTATAGCATGCATGCAGTTGAGCCATTAGGGCTAGTAGTGATCCTATAGTATTGTGTTGACAGCCATCAGGGCTATTAACTAGTATTTAGTAAATTGTGCTTTAACTTGCAGATACAATTATTTTAAAAATATCAATAATAATAATGGAATACTCACTTCATGCCATTAAGTGATTGTGGTCAGAATTGCCTCTGAGGCTAACTAATTATGTTTCAAAACTTACACAGACACTATACAAAATAAGAACTTCATCAGTGAGTATTTAGTAAATTATTAAGTTCTAATTTCATTTTGTTGTTGATCATTTGTGAGTGATCCCGATCAAAATGATTGGATTTTTAGCAACGTTTAAAAATTCATAAAAAATCCAAATTTGATCGGATCAGTTCAAGCTTTCTACACAACATAAGTTTATATATCAGGAAAAATTATAAAAATGAACAACTCTTCCTTTTCATTTTTGGCAAAAATTGGCCAAGACTCTGTACTGTAATGCATGTGCTTGTGTCATATACTCATATTAACTAGTAGTCACCTGACTTTAATAATCTGTGGCAGGCTATATATAAAGCAGAGCTTTAGCTATTGCTGCAGTTCTTTTAGAATAAAGGCAACAATGGAGAGTCACGTTGAAGAGAATCAGTATTCCACAAACGATGAAGTGCTGCAAGAAATGATGTATGAAATGAAGGTATTGCCTTCTAATCAAGAGCAAGAGCATCAGTATCAAGTGCCACCTACATACAGCAAGAAATACATTGAAGACAAATGGCCACTCCGTATAGTGATATGCCTATTAGCCATTATATTGCTATTGCTTGCCACTTCGGTGGCTATGTCTGGCTTTATAATATCACAATCATCTGCTGAATGCAGTGCCACTGTTACTGGTGCTACAAATGCTGGTCTGACTGCTACTAATAATTCAATGTGCCAGTTGTGTAATGAGTCCATTACTCACTTTGCGCAAGAAATTCATAAAAGAATTGGTAATATTGATGTTACTAACAGTACCAAGGCTCTTATGCAAAAAAGCATTGAGCAATTGGCCCTTCTAGATGAACTCCTTGAGGCTGCTATCCTCACAAATGATGTTAATAACAGCACCAAAGCTGAGCAATTGGCCTTGCTAGATGAACTTCTTAAGGTTGCTGTTCTCACAAATGAAGTTACAAACAGTACGAAGGTTTTTGTGCAGGAAAGCATCGAGCAATTGGCTTTCCTAGTTGGTATAACGGAAGAAATCAACACCAAAGTCAACAATACAGATGAGCTTTTTGAGGCTGCTGTTATGGCATACAATGTTACTAACAGCACCAAGGCTCTTGTGCAGGGAAGCATTGAGCAATTGGCCCTTCTGGTTGGTATAGCTCATGAAACCAACACAAAAGTCAACAATACAGATGAGCTTCTTCAGGCTGTTGTTCTTGCAAACAATGTTGCTAACAGCACCAAGGCTCTTGTGCAGGGAAGTATGGAGCAATTGTCCTTTCTAGTTGATATAACTGAAGAAATTAACTGGAAAGTCAACAGTACAGATGAACTTCTTGAAGCTGTCATTCTTACAAATGATGTTACTAACAGCACCAAAGCTCTTGTGCAGGGAAGCATTGAGCAATTGGCCATTCTTGTTGGTATAGCCCACAAAATCAACACAAAAGTCAACAATACATATACTAATGAGCTCCTTTATCGTATTACCAATGTCACTCAAAACACTAATGCACTTGCTCAGGACAACATGGAAAGTCTGATAAAAGTTAATAACAGCTTTCATGGTATTGATGCTAGAATTGAAAATTCTGCACAAGTTCTTTCTCTAATTAAAACTTCATTGAGCAACAATACAAACTTATTGGAAACGTTTGCCACATCTAACAGTCAATCCCATACTAGCATAGTGAACACTCTCTCTAATCTACAAGACACCAGTACCTCTACTGTTGGAGTAAATGATAATATACTAATAGTGGTACAAAAACTACTGCAGTTACATAATGTCTCCTCTTCACTACCTACATCTTGCAAACAACTTAAATATAAAAAACCCAACAGTCCATCAGGAATCTACATACTGGTAACTGCTAATGGTAGTAGTTTATATTATACTTACTGTAATATGGAGGAGTTGTGTGGTTCAGGAGGAGGATGGACAAGACTAGCATATCTGGATATGAATGACTCTACAGTGAACTGTCCTTCTGGGTTTAGACTGTACCAGTCAGGAGGAGTTAGAGCTTGTGGTAGAGCAACATCAAGTGTAGGCAGTTGTACGTCTGTTCAGTTTCCATCTAATGG